GTAAGGAGACGCGCCTAACTGTCTCGCCCTGCCCAGGATTCGAACCCAGGACGTGCCGGTTGTGAGCCGACAGCGCTGACCACTGGGCCACAGGTTACCCACGATAGTTCAGCTTCCCAAACAAATATATAAAAATGTTTCATTATAAATATTGAAAAACACTTAATATACTCATTTGATATAATGTATTACTCTTGTAGAAAGTGGAGTATCAATGGGTTCAGTTGTTACTTTATTAGTTCTTTCTGAAGGATGTTAAATTTACCTTCAAATAAAGAAGTCCGCACACATAGTAACCGACGTCTACCAGGGTTCGAACCCTGAGGGCGCACATTTAATTGTTCTCTCATGTTTGCTTTTGTATTGATTTATTTATATACAGGAGTTCATACATTATTGTACATCACAATCACAATGTACCTTCTTATATTTAAATAAATAAATAAATAAATAAAACATCCACTAGCACGCACACCGTTCCGGGCAAGTCTTTACTCCTAATATTCCCGGGAATACGACCCGCCAAATCGTTTAACAACCAGGTATCCATTCACTGCTGGGTGAACAGAGCCTACAGTTAAGGATTTGCGACCAGTCAATCCTTCCCAGCCAGGATACGAACCTTGAGCGATAAATAACTAAACATTTTGTGGGTACATAGTGTGGCGTAAAGCATAGGGGGGGTGGCTCCCCCGCCGCCACCTTCAAACTTGTCAACAGTCAAGAGGAGAGGTGTGGCGCCCTGCCTCCATACACTCTATCTCCCCTACCTCGCGCCCACACGCCCACACGCCCTCTTGATACCCGTGTTGTGTTGTCACCAGGTAAGAAAGTGTATTAAAAGAGAACCTATTGGGTGTGTGAAGTGGCAGTCCCTGTGTCGGTCCCTGTGTCGACTGTCCCTGTGTCTGCCACAGTGTCGGTCCCTGTGTCGACTGTCCCTGTGTTGGCCACAGTGTTGGTCCCTGTGTTGTCTGTCCCTGTGTCAGCTACAGCGTCTGTCCCTGTGCCAGCCACAGCGTCTGTCCCAGTGTCAGCCAGTGTCTGTCCCAGTGTCAGCTACAGCGTCTGTCCCTGTGCCAGCCACAGCGTCTGTCCCTGTGCCAGCCACAGCGTCTGTCCCTGTGTCAGCCACAGCGTCTGTCCCTGTGCCAGCCACAGCGTCTGTCCCTGTGCCAGCCACAGCGTCTGTCCCTGTGCCAGCCACAGCGTCTGTCCCAGTGTCAGCCACAGTGTCTGTCCCAGTGTCAGCCACAGTGTCTGTCCCAGTGTCAGCCACAGCGTCTGTCCCAGTGCCAGCCACAGTGTCTGTCCCAATGTCAGCCACAGTGTCTGTCCCAGTGTCAGCCACAGCGTCTGTCCCTGTGCCAGCCACAGCGTCTGTCCCAGTGCCAGCCACAGCGTCTGTCCCTGTGCCAGCCACAGCGTCTGTCCCAGTGCCAGCCACAGCGTCTGTCCCAGTGCCAGCCACAGCGTCTGTCCCTGTGCCAGCCACAGCGTCTGTCCCAGTGTCAGCCACAGTGTTAACCTGTGTGTCTGCCACAGTGTCGACTGTGTGTCAGCCAGTGTCAGTGCCTGTGTCTGCCACAGCATCTGTCCATGTCGGCCACAGTGCTGTCCCTGTGTATGCCACAGTGTCGACCCATGTGTTGGTGGCCACGGTGTTCATGAACATCTGTCACCCGGCTGAGGTGGCAGTTGCATTACTTTGTCTTGTGCACACTAACAGGAACCAAGCTAACCATCCATAGTCTAGCCTAATATGACCTTGAATAATAAAAAAAAAATCTTAGATTAAATGTGGGCCTACCTTGAGGTGCTTCCAGGGCTTAGCGTCCCCGCGGCCCGGTCGTCGACCAGGCCTCCTGACCTCCAGGCTGACCAGACCATGCCTGTGTGGTATACATTATTGAACATCCACTTTTTAGCCTGTGATACAAACATTTCTCTAGAGTTCTAAATAATGCTGAATTAGGTTGAAATCTGTTATGGTCCGTGTGGCGTAGTGGTAAAACACTTCCCCAGTGCTTCGCGAGTGCTATGGCCTGAGTTTGTATCCTGGCCAGGGAGGGTTGACTGGGCGCTAATCCTTAACTGTAGCCTCTGTTCACCCAGCAGTGAATGGGTACCTGGTTGTTAAACGATTTGGCGAGTCGTATTCCATGGAAAATTAGGATTTAATACATGCCTGATATGCTATGTGTGCTAGTGGCTTTACAAAAATATAAGAACTCTTGTATATATCTCTAAAACAATGTGATAAGAAGATAAGAAGATACAGAAGATAAACGATTCTTCGCGGCAGGGGATCGTATTCCAGGGACCTGCCCGAAACGCTATGGGTACAAGAATGTAACAACTCTTGTATATATCTAAAAAAAAAAATATAAGTACAGTAAACAAATAAATAAATAAATAAACATTACCTAGAATAACCTAACCTGTTAATTTTTATTGCTAACAGCATAAAAGACAGTTGCAACAACAGTGAATTTAATACGAAGTAACCTATCGTACACCACTGCCATATACTAAGTTGTTCACTGCTGGAAACAGAAGTGTGATTACTGTACATGGCCACCAAGGTGGTGATCTGCAACAAATCAAATAAATGATTATTGAATTGATTCACAGTTTCACTGGAATCTTAGAGAATGAGAAGGTTGTTAAATTGACTTGGACAGCAATAGAGGTCGGTAAAATCCAGAATTTATCACATTGTTTTAGAGATTTTAAAGTCATTTTAGAGAGACTTTTAAGAGGTAAAATTAATGAGATGCATTTACAAAACTTTATGCCATAAAGACCAATCATAGGTACCATGACATAATAATAATAATAATAATAATAATAATAATAATAATAATAATTTTTATTTAGGCAAAGGTACATACATAAAGAGATTTAACAAAGTTTGTTGGCTTTATAGATTGAGCTAGTACATACAATGCCTAAAGCCACTATTACGCAAAGCGTTTCGGGCAGGAAAAAACACTACTGACTAGAGCTTAAAACTAATGGGTAAAAAGAAAAAAATGCGTTGAGTACAAATAAAAATAGAGGTAAAAGAGGGGGGAACATTGTTGAAAAAACAGCACAAATACAATTACAAATTATTACAGAAAATTACATTAAAACAGCGTTGATTTGTAAAACAAAAAAAACAAAAAAACCATACATGGGTTGACAATAGAGAGGTAAGGTAGGTTACAGGGAATTTATTAGGTATAGCTTCGTTTTTAACTTAAACTGGTTGAGAGAGGTACTGTCTTTAACATGGTTGGGAAGGTCAGCGTCTTTTCATTTCAACATGTTGAAATTACTGGTTAAGACATACCGATAAGTAGGTATAGGTTAGGTAGTAGTATGATGGACATACAGCATTACATCAACAAAATGCCAGAACTATATTGGCCAGGCATAGTGTGAGGGCAGCTTCTATTCATTAACTATTATTAAGCATACAGACACAGAACACTATGGTAACTGAATATACTCTCTCTACTCGATTGTCCAGACTATATGGGAAGGACCCCCAGCTGGATAATCACGTTTTCTGGATTAGAGTACTTTTTTACCTCCGAGTCCAAAAGTGACCATTTCCAACTATTTTTATACTACAAACAACATACTTTGAAATGCCTTGCCACATATAATTATTAAATATTCAACTAGAAACCTCAACTTACCTTGTTGTTGTTCGTCTTCTTGATTGATGCCACACATCTTGAAGTTAAGAATTCTTGACAATTTATGTAACCTATACTAACACAACACTAAAATTAACACTTAAAATTACTGTACAGTTCATTAAGCAAAGTTAGTTTTGACTGCCAGCTGCTGAAGCCTCACTGGTTGAAGGCACTTGGCTTGCCTGTGAGGCCTCACTGGTTGAAGGCGCTTGGCTTGATTTTCTTACCATATAAGAATCAAGTTTAGCTTGCCTTCTGTGTTCATTATGGCCTGTTGTATGATCAGCTCTTTGGTTCGCCTCAGGTACTGGTACATGTTTCCAACTTCTGGATTAGCACAGTTGGATGAAAAATTAATTAATCCGTCAACATAGGTCATGAGTAAACTGTATTTCGTAGTCAGTGGTGTTGGTTCTTCACTGCCTTCTTCATCCTCCTCCTCTTCGTCGACGTCACCAGTAATAGACTGGAGAATCTTGTCTTCACTCATCACACCATATCCTGGGTCATTGGCATCTCTTTCAAGCCAATCAATCACAGCCTGTCTTTCTAAGTTTTCACCAGCATTTCTGAATATTCCATGGATTTCTTCTGTAAATCCTTCAAAATTCATTTCATCATTCTCCTCATTGCTGACCGTAGACGTGAGGAGTTTTTTTTCCAGGAATTCTTCAAAGTCGATTCCTTTACTTCACTCCACACCTTGGCCCAGTTATAGATGGCTTTCTTGATTGTATAGTTCTTCAAATTCTCAATTTTTTTTTTTTAGCCCTGTTATCCACACCGAGTTCCACATCTTTCGGAAGAGGGAAAATCATCAAAACTTCGTTGAGCATCTTTTTGGTGTACAACCTCTTCGTGGCATAGATAACTCCCTGATCCATAGGCTGGATGAGAGAAGTTGTATTAGAAGGAAGTGCCATACACGTTACCTTGCCATCATGTGAGGTTAACGTGTCAATTCTGGGGGAGGGCAGGCGCATTATCAAGCAGCATCAAACCCCGAACTTTCCTTGGCCTTATTTTGAGTTTCTTAACTTGATAGTCACGAACTTCCCTGCAGAACACATCATGAAACCAGGAAAGAAAGATCTGTGTAAACCATGCATTCTTTGACTTATAATATTTCACAGGCAGTCTGTCCAAGCAATGTTGCAAGGCTCTTGGTTTCTTTGATTTGCCAACAATTGCACATGTGATTCTGTCTGTGTCGTCGGCATTCGCACACATCATTGCCGACAGCCTGTCCTTGTTAACCTTACGGCCTGGCACACAACCCTCACTCCTCATAGCTAGAGTTTTTTCTGGTAAACTCCTCCAATACAGCCCAGTTTCATCAGCATTATAAATTTGATAAGAATATAAATTATTTGACAAAATGTATGTTCTTAATTTATGTTTAAATGGTTCTACACTGCTTGTATCTGCACTCAATTTTTCACCGACAATTTTCCTCTTCACAATATTGTGCCTCCCTTTGAACCTTGCAACCCACCCTTCACTAGCTTGGAAATCCTTTATTCCAAGGCTTGCTGCAAACCTGCTTGCAGCATTTTGTATTTCTGGGCCGCGAATTGTCACGCCAGCTGTGCGGTGCTGAGCAAACCACTTGTACACAGCCTCATCCAACTGTACATGCGTCGAAGTTTTCAAAGTTTTTCTACCACACCCTCTGCTAGTGCTTGCACCTTCACTCTCACTGGTTGAAATGTATTTCAGGTATTGCTCTTTTTGTTTCCTTATATCAGAAACAGTACTAGTGCCTATATTAAATTCCTTGGCAACACTTGAAGTCGACCGGCCATTTTCACAAAAGTTGTATAACACGTAACTTGTCTTTAATTGTTAAGACAACCTTTCTCTTAACACCTCCAAAACGATTGATGCTGCTACCAAACATAGTCTTGGCCAAAAATGTTCAAAGTTACTATGAAAATAAAAAAGTTAAACAAAAAAAATATTTCACTAATGGCACGGCACTGTGGTATAACACGAGGGACGGGAGCACATGGCTTGACCAGGCCTGGGCAGGTCCACTTGGGGCAGGCAGGCACGTTACGTAGGCCGCTAGGAGGAAAAAACTCACAATATTTTTGAAGGAAACTTCAGCCTGTGCAAATTGTTTTTAGGAAACTTGTATATTTGTTATTATATAATTACAGTGGTACCTCAGAATACGAGCGTCCCTGTTTACGAGTTTTTCAGATTACGAGCAGGATTTGCTCGGAAAATTTACATCAGAATACGAGCGTTGCCTCGGAATGCGAGGGTGTTGATACGCATACAGGCCGACTAGCGTGTGGTGGTACGGCGATCGCGCCTCAGTTTACCAGTGCCTCGCGCCCAGTGACTATCCCACTTGAATTCTTCACAATGATTTACATTTTTTTTGTCTGATTTTTGGCCGTTTGAGCATAAAAGTTGTTATTATATATCTCGCTATGGGTCCCAAGAAAGTCAGTGGTAAAATTCAACCTAAAAAAATAGTTGTGAGTAGAGGCAGTAGAGGATGTCCCTTCTTCATTAAGAAAATGTGTGAAGTATGGGAAGAACTGCAAAGTTTTGTTGAAAAAAATCACCCAGATAAAGCTGTAGCAGGCCGCTGCATTGACCTTTTAAATGACATTGTGATGTTTTATTACAGACAAGAGTTAAAATGTAGGGAAAAACAAGTGTCTTTTAGACAGATTCTTAGTAAGACAAGCAAGCAGTGAGCCACAAGCAGGTCCTAGTGGTATGCAGGCAAAACGTGCCAGAGAGTGCACACCAGTGAAGTCCTCACTGCCTGATGTTATAATGGAAGGGGACTCCCCTTCCAAACAGTAACAACTCTCCTTCTCTCTCCTCCTCACCATCTTCCAAATGCCAACAGCAGTCATCAACAAGGGTAAGTAATAACTTGAACATACTTTTGTAGTGTAGATTTAGATAAATTAGGTATAAAACTTACTTTGAGGTGAGGTTTTTTTGGTAGTCAGGAATGGATTAATTCATTTCCCATTATTTCTTATGGGGAAATTAGCTTCGGTTTACGAGTTTTCGGATTACGAGCTATCTCCAGGAACGGATTAAACTCTTAAACCGAGGTACCCCTATACTAGTATTTATTTTGTTTTTGGCTATGATGAATTGTTTTAAAATTAATGGCAATTCCTGTACTGTACTGTAGTGTATAGTAGTGTATACGGCCCTCCACATCCCCTTATCCCCCAGGTGGTCCCTCCCAATGCTCCCCTCTCTCCCGACACTACCCACCCACCCACCCCACCCCCTCCTACACTATGCGCCTCGAGCCACAGCCGTATGTGATTAATATGCTACGGCCCGCCGCCTGGCTTTCTTATCCGGACAATTCACCGGTTGTCTGGCTGACTGTCCGGATAGTGTAAAATCAGCATCAAGTTAACCGGCTCAGATTTTTTATCCGGCCAAACACTTGTTGGTCCGGCTCCCATGGACATTTTGGCCAGAAAGGGAGATTACTTTATCCGGCCACGATTTTTGCCGGATAAGGGTGTTGTCCGGATGGTTGGATTCTGGATAAATGAGTGTCTACAGTACATTTGAAACAAGTTACAGTAGCAGTACGTATATAAAAATGTAAATTATATAAATTCATTATGCAAAACAGTTGAAGCACCCAACAGAATAGGAAAAACCTTTCAGAGATGTAATTTTCCAGGCAACTTAAATATTTTTTTTAAATAAAGGAAAATAAATTTTTAAATATTTCCTAAGACCTATTTGACGGTTTGGCTGTCATGGACAGGAAGCACATAATGTGTGCTTGACTAGGCTTCAGAGAGAACAAACACAAATATTTTTCTAAAAAAAAAAAAAGGATAACATAGACGGAGGCAGGAAGTGGATATATATATATATATAAGAGAACCATAATTTGTTTTAAATTATTTGTTATTTTTCACATGCCTTTTACATCTGCAGTAAACACATTCAACATTTCATTACATTAATTTTACTTAACTATTTCAGGTAATATAAGCCTCAGCTATGAACAACGAAGACCCCACTCTTGAGCGTCACTTCAAAGGCCATAAAAATGTGGTTACAGCTCTTGATTTTTGTCCCACGGGAAAAAAGTTGGTGTCTTCATCACTTGACAGCACAGTCATGATCTGGAATCTCCAGCAACAGATTCGTGCATATAGGTTAGAAAAGACTACATTTGATTTTTGCTAAATATAAATCACATTTAGTGTTTTATTTTTAATCTGGGTACTGTAATGCTGTCATGTGATACACTACATTGTGTTAGTAAGCTCTTAATTATGTTTTGGTGCCTTTATCTTTTTGTTTAATGTTTTTGTGTATGCAAAGAATTGAATTAAACTCTGCAACCCATTGTGCCGCACATCACATTATAAGTACACTATATTATTCACTTTTCACTTGAGCTGATTTTCCAGTTGTAGTGACCGTTTTTTTTGGCCTGGCGGGTCACCCCGCAGCACACCGCAAGGTAGGCCAGGCACTGCCCTGGAGTGCACAACCACACTTCAATGCTTATACTCTTTCCAGTTTTCTAACCTCAATTTTTGTGCTACGTCATTCATTTTGGTATCAAATTGCAATAGAATGCTCTAATGGGATATATATATGTATATAAGGTCAAATAGAAGGACAACATTCCACCCTCCCATAAGATAAAGTACTGTATTTGCTGGCATATAAGATACATTTTTTTATTTTTAAATATAAAAAAGTGCCCTGCGTCTAATGCCACCACATTACGGATGGGAGACCAAGAGGCATAGACTAGGGAGCCGGTCGAGCATACTGGGGTAAGTTCGCTAGGCACAAAAATTTTTGTTGTTAATAAAATATCGAATGCAAGCACAGTTATCACAGTCTGTTATCTCAAACTTATGCTACATCGGCAGTTACGAAGGAAACTCGCATCATCTTACCAAGTATACATAACCCACCCTTGATATGTCATACATTATTTAACGACTGTGTTACCTTTAAGACACATTTATTCATTATCTAAATGAAAAATGATCCTTGAAATTTGAAAGGAATGTTCACTTTCATCCGCCTGTCCGCCATTTTCAATGCCTGAATGATACCAGAGCGCTGTGATGGTGTGCTACTGCTGGGTGTGCAGCCCTGGTGGCTTGATGTGGCAACAAAACATTACATCCAGAAATACAAGTTTCACATCCTGTATAGCAATTCTCTTGCCAAAAATATAAACAACTAGAGTACACTACAGCTGATCTTAAAGGAGGTAAGAGTTGTGGTACAAAATCCACTTTAAAATATCTTTCTATAAATGTGCAGGGTTATGATGAAACATACTAAAATAGTTTTTTTTTTCCACAAAAATATCCTTGTAAAATAGGGGTGCATCCTATGCGAGGGTGCATGTCTTATGCTGGTATGTACGTCATGTGAAACGACCGGCTTTTCATCGTTGTTTACAGTTATTATTCATTCTCGACATTGTTACATTATTTCATTCATTTTTGTCTTGCTTCTTTCATAAGTGTTTGTACCACAGTATCATATGTATAAAGAAATGAATAAACATATCTGTATTTACCACCCAATGATGTTTGTAGAGCATGAGTTGAGCATTAGGTAAAATCCCCTCCACCTGCTCCAGGAAAAGATTTCCCGAAGTTGCTCAACAGATGAGTAAAGTTCACTAGTGACTGAATGACTACTTCGTGGAACTTGAGGAATGAGAGTTTCTTGGTATTAGATGTGTAGTACAGTGGAACCTCGGTTTTCAATGTTAAACCGTAGGGAAAAACAAGTGTCTGTAGACAGATTCTTAGTAAGACAAGAAAGCAGTGAGCCACAACCAGGTCCTAGTGGTATGTCTGCAAAACACGAGAGAGAGTACTGTACCCCACAAATGTCATCACTGCTGTTATAATGGAAGGGAACTTCCCTTCTAAACACTAACACCTCTTCTCCTCCCTCCCCTCCTCACTGTCTTCCATATACCAACAAGAGTCCATGAAGGTAAGGTACCTAAGAGTATTATTCTGTATAAAATGTTTTTTCTGGGGGGAAACCCCTTCGGCTCCCCGGAGCTTACTAGGCTGATATGCTAATGTCAGACTTTGGCATCAGTCGTGTATATGGAGTTCTGTGGGCCTACCGGGGACCATGAGCCAGAACTTGGGCCCCCTCAGAGAGGCATGGGGAGCAGTGGCCTATAGAAACCCCTGTGTGGTTGGAAGCATTCTATGTCTGCCATCAACCGGGGTCAGGCACCCAGAAAAGTAAACATCCCAAAACAAACCCCTATTCTGGTGAAATTATTGCTACCACAAGCCGAACAAGTGGATAAAACTCCCCTAAAAGAAACGGGCAAACGAGCATGACGTCACACGTTGCCGCGCCGCTGTCTGCGCGGTGACCCCAGGCCCCCCATGCCGGCTATCCACCCTTCAATTCTAAGGCTGATGCTAGAGGATGAGGTCGTGTGCTCTGGCTCCGGTAGTTGTTTCAGCACTGTACCTAGTGTGTGGTGACTGTCTTCTAGGTGGTGCGTGAGCCAGGAGTGATTCCCCAGTACTCGGGCTGCATGCGCCTTGGGTTTCCTTCCCTAAGTGCCCTGTAAATACTGCCCTTGGGGCCACCTTCCACACGTTCCTTGGATTCTGCCCCTGCTAGGCTGTTTACTGCTTGGTTTTTGGCCGCCTTTAGTGTGCTAGGGTGTTCTGTCTCCCTTCTTCGCCTTAGGGTAGGAGGCAGTTTGCACTGGTAGGGACACAGGGTACTGTGCAGCTTTTTTTCACCGATCATAGCGCCCGGCTCTGCTCCACCTGGATACATTGTCGTCTTGCTGGGTTTTCTTTTCTTTTTTTGTTTGTCTGGTGGGGGTCTGCCTTGGTTTTTCTTCCCCCCTCTCCGTACGAGTTGTTGGGCATCGGCCCCTCCTCGGTTCAGTTCCTTGTCCCTTGGGTCCATCGTTCCGTCTTGGCGGTGGGTACTCGTCTCTGTTTCTTCACCCTTCTTCCTTGGGACGGGACTTCTCCGTCATGTTCCCCCTCTTCTCGGGGTTCTGCATGACTTTTGGTCTCGGGTGTGACTGTGCCTTATGTGCCTTCTGTGCCTTCTGTGCCTTCGTGCTTAGTGCTTGCTTCTATGTGTTCTCGATGGTTCTGGAAGGTTTTCGCTTCTTCCCGTGTTATTGGAACGTCTGTCATCTTCTGGTCTGGCTTCCCTTCAGTCCTTTCTCGAGCTTGTTGGTCCTCTTCCGTGTTTCTTATCGGTTTTCGGTCCTATCTCGTTCTTTTGTAATTCTCTTCTTTCCGTGCTCTGTCTCGGCACTGTTCGTTTTCTTTCCGTACTCCTCGTTGGCATCTCCCCACCGAGTGGGTTGTGCAGTTCGGCCCTTGTGTTCTGCGGATGCACCATGGGAGTTTGTTTTGGTCTGAGTGGAGTGCACAAGTGCTGGTGTTTTGCATCCTTTTCTCTCGGGGTGCTTCACCTCTCACTCTTCTCCATTGTCCAGTCTGTGCCCCGTAGCTACTGGGGTTTTCTGGATTACAGCTACGGGGAGGATGCTGGGGTTTTCCCTGTGTTATGGGTGTGGGGCGTCTCCTTCGCCTCTACCCTGCTCCTCTCCTGCATGTGCGGCTCTGGCCTTCTTTACCTGGTGGTGCTCCCGGAATCTTCTCAGCTATGTTGTGTCGTGACACGTTCGTGCCTACGTTCGGCAGGTGAGTTTCTGCTGTCTGGCATCTCTTTTGGTCAGGTGCTGGTTCGTGGTTTTTGGATAAGAATACCAGACCATCAGCGCACAGGTGACTGCAGAGGGCCTGTTGGCCCATACGTGGCAGCTCCTATTTCTACCCATCCAGTCCCAGTCATCTGTGTGTCCATCCCATGCTTGAGTCAATCAAGGGGTCCCACCTCATCCATGTTACGCGGTACAATGGTGGAGGTGAAGGTTATGTGGTAAATGTTCCTGTGTCAGGATGTTATGAGGTGACATTTTGCTGCAGTTTTGTGACTGGGGATACATGTTAGGGATTGATTGTGTCATTTTGTTTGGCCATTGCATGCTTTTTCCTGGGGCCTTCCTTGTGTATCTGTGTGTGTGTTCTGGACATCTCAATTTTCGTCCTAGGTCTTTCATTTTGATATCATTGTGTTCGCAATAAAATTTCCTACATGCATATATGCAAATATTAAGTCGAAAAGCCTGGCATACCACCCATAGCAAACTGAGAAAGTGACGGAGCAGTACCCCCGTGAGCACTAATAAAGATCAATAAAATGGGTATTCTGTTTTCAACTTTGTTACCTCAATTATGGTCCTAGGACTTTCATTTTGGTATCAATGTATTCGCAATGAAATTCCCTACAAGAGTATATGCATATAATGTCCAAAGCCGTGGCAAGACCTTCCCGAAAATGCCGGTTCTGTTGCCGTACCAACGACTCGATACTGAGTCGTCGCTGGACTTGCCTCTGTTTCACAGACTACTCGGCATTGAGTCGTCGCCGAGCGAAAGTGTTAATTAAATGGATCTTGTAGGTATTGTTCATATTTCTGTCATTGGCTTATTGTTCTTTGTTTAACTTGAGTCATCACTGCAGTGTCTTATATAACGATAGTGCAGTATTATAACTCTTCTGCAGTCACATTAATAATGATAGTGCAGTATTATATTTCTTCTGCAGTCACATTAATCAGATTCATATTTCAATAAATGCCTTGCCTTAAACATCTTCATACACTGTATATTTATTCTTAAATTTATCTGTACCTCAGTGGTCAGTGCAGCCAATTCACAACCTGTGTAGGATGGAGGTATTTGGCCATATTTTCCTTTATGTGATGCTTTTGTTCACCTAGCAGTAAAGAGGTACTCTACCTATGAGTTAGGCAACTGCTGTGGGTTACATCTTGGAGGTCAGTTGCTGGTCTAGGTGGACCTTAACCCCTTAACTGCGTGGGCTCCAAATATGACACCCCCCCCGGTGCCCAGGAAATAAACTCTCTGGAAAAAATTCTTTTCTGTTTTTAAAGTGTTAAAAATCCTTCCCTGAGTAAGGGTATAGTAACAGAAGGTCGAAATTGTAAGTACTTTAGCTGCTGTAGGGTCTGTAAGTTCGTGCGTGACGTCATCATTCCCTGGTCGCCCGTGGCATACGCCTCCGGGGCCGGAAGGGCACTCGGGGCAGGATGCACGAGTTACCGCAAATATATTTTTGTTCATTTTCTGCGCACAGTTCCAAATACATTTTATATGATTTTACGTGCCAGTCCTATGTATAATGAACACGTACACTATATTATGGCAGTAGAACATCCGTACTGTCCGAAGACACTGTTACGTGCATGACGTGTGTACACATATCTGGCACATGTTTCCGTTGTATTATGCTAATTTATGTATATATAGTCTATTTACACACTATACACTATCACACACTATATACATTTACCATGAACACACTCAGAACTCCGCGAGTGTCAGCTGCCACACCCTCACTCCTCCAACACCCAGTCTCTCCCTCACCACGCCCACATTGCTCCTCCCACCATACTGTTATTGTTTGCATTACACTATTTACACATGTTATGTATACCTATCTTCATGTTTTATTCACCAGAACTATGCAAGTAAGCCGGTATTGTGTCCAAACTTTACAGTGGCCACCATACACTGCATGAGAAATCACACAGCAGCCAGCAGACGACGCTACGATTACGTCACCTCCCTCACTAAAATAGCTCCTCCCAAGATACTCCTGTTGCTGTTACTACACTATATACACACATTGTATATACCCATGTACAAATGTGTTAACCATAGCGAACCACTAAGCTAGTATGATGAGCAAAACAAGAGTGGCTGCCACAAAGTGAGGCTACCTCGATTCTCTCCCTCGCTCCCTCACCACAATTACTCCTCCCACAATACTACGCACATATGTACATGGGTATATACACACATTGTATATACCCATGTACAAATGTGTTCACCATAGCAAACCACTAAGCTAGTATGATGAGCAAAACAAGAGTGGCTGCCACAAAGTGAGGCTACCTCGATTCTCTCCCTCGCTCCCTCACCACAATTACACCTCCCACAATACTACGCACATATGTACATGGGTATATACACACATTGTATATACCCATGTACAAATGTGTTCACCATAGCAAACCACTAAGCTAGTATGATGAGCAAAACAAGAGTGGCTGCCACAAAGTGAGGATACCTCGATTCTCTCCCTCACTCCCTCAGCACAATTACTCCTCCCACAATACTATGCACAGTGCTTATTATCACCACAATCCTGCTGTTATCACAATACTGGTCACTAAATCCTGTAAATACATAATTGACCACAAGTTTATTATGTAAAGGAACCTAAGAAATCGTTTGAAGATTTCTAGATGGACGAAATAATGCTGTGGTGCTGTGGCTAGCACTATGAACATCGTGAACAGCATTGAATCACTAATATTTGAACATTGTACACAGTCATTATCACACTCAGGCTCTTCTATAATACTATCATGGCTAAATAATACAAGTTATATATATATTTTGACATTATTAGGTGATGCTGTGGTCACAAGCTGAACAGCAATGCTGTGAACTCATGCTGCGTGTGCCAGCCTTGGTTGCTCACTCACTACTGAGGCTCTCACACACGGGAATGTAGACCACGATTTTTTTTAAAGATGGCGTCTGTTTACAAGAGCCCTGAGGAAGCTGATGTGAACCCCATGTAGCCGCGTGAGTTTTGAATGGAATGTGAAAAATACAAATACCCGGAAGCGCGTAACGCACCCCAGACGTGGGCCTGCAGGCATGTTGCACAGTTAATAAGCTGTGCAACACGCCTGCAGGCCCACGTCTGGGGTGCGTTACGCGCTTCCGGGTATTTGTATTTTTCACATTCCATTCAAAACTCACGCGGCTACATGGGGTTCACATCAGCTTCCTCAGGGCTCTTGTAAACAGACGCCATCTTTAAAAAAAATCGCGGTTTACATTCCCGTGTGTGAGATTAATAAGCCAAACATACCTCCTGTCTCCAACAATGGAAAACTATAACGGTACTAAATAGTATACAAAAAATGCCACTTTTGCTCTGATTAAAATTTTAATTTGTATGTGGACACAGAGATGACAAGCCTGCGTATGTGTGTATGCAATTATGTAAGTGTAGTTACAGGATGAAAGCGTGTTTTGTGTAGCGTGCGGCGGCTGGGTTGAAAGAGAGGTGCTTGACCCAGGCTGACCTTTTAAGTACTCCCAGCTGCTGTGCGCGCAGCAACATGCAAGTCTCTATTGACTCGTCTTCCTCCAAACAGAAAATCCTGTGCTTTTCTAAAACCATGGATTTTTTTTCTGCAGCTTGGAGGAAAACTCGTATGGATTTGACACACTCGTGGTGTCCCGTTTTCCCAGGAATGTACTGTTATTCAACACTTTCAAACTACTGATGGTTTTGGCCTCCTCCACCTTCTCGCTTGTTCCAACAGTCAACCACCATGTTAGCGAAAGTGAATTTTCTTATATTTCTTCGGCAGCTTTAAGTTATCTTAAATCTATGACCTCTTTGTTCTTGAAGTTCCAGATCTTAAAAATTCTTACTGATCAATTTTGATAATTCATATTACTATTTTGTATGTAGTGATCATATAGCCCCTCTTTGTTTTCTTCTTCTATCTTCCAGCTTTGGCATATTTAATGCCTCTAACCTCTCCTCATAGCTCTTGTCTTTCAGTTCTGGAAGCCATTTCGTTGCATTTCTTTGCACCTTTTCCAGTTTGTTGATGTGCTTCTTAAGATACAGGCACCTCACAACCGCTGCATATTCTAGCTTTGGCCTAACAAAAGTCATGAACAATTTCTTTAGCATTTCACCATCCATGTATTTAAAAGCAATTCTGAAGTTAGAAAGCGTGGCATAGCTTGCGCAACGTTCTTTATGTGGTCCTCAGGAGATAGTTTTCTATCGAGAACCACCCCTAGATCTTTTTCTTTATCAGAATTCTTTAAAGATTTCGCATAATTTATAGTTGTGTGGGGTCTATGTTCTCCTATTTCACATTCCATAGCATGGCATTTATTCACTTTTAAAGTCCATTTGCCAAGTGGAGCTCCATATACTTTTATGTCCAGGTCTTCTTGAAGAGCATGACAATCATCTAAGTTGCTTATCCTTCCTATTATCTTAGCATCATTAGCAAACATGTTCATATAATTCTGTATTCCATCTGGTAGATCATTTATGTAGCCAATGAACATCACCGGTGCGAGAACTGAACCCTGTGGTACTCCACTTGTGACATTTCTCCAGTCTGATACATTACCTCTGATTACTGCCCTCATTTTTCTATCCGTCAGAAAATTTTTCATCCATGTTAGAAGCTTGCCTGTCACCCCTCCAATATTTTCCAGTTTCCAGAACAACCTCTTATGTGGAACTCTGTTGAAAGCATTTTTTAGGTCCTGATAGATGCAGTCAACCCAACCATCTCTCCTGTAAAATCTCTGTGGCTCAGTTATAGAAACTGAGTAAATTCGACACACAGGATCCTCCAGATCGAAAACCATACTGTCTGTCTGATAGTGTGTGTGTGGAAAAGGAAAGAAAAGTTGATTAACAGTTGAGAGGCGGGCTGAAAGAGCAGAGCACAACTAGATGAGTACAATATTCAGTACAAGATAGGACCAGTGCTTTAAAAAGTACTCTGTATATCGGCTATTATTTTGCAGGTTTATAGGCCACACAGATGCTGTTAATGATGTTTGCTTCTCCCCCACTGGAAACCTTATGGCATCAGCCTCCCGTGATCGCTCAGTCAGACTCTGGATTCCTAACATTCGAGGTGAGTTCATTGTGGTAGATTTAGAATCATTTTAACATTGTCAGGGTGAAGACCTTGTGCAGTATGTCAGGGTGAAGACCTTGTGCAATATGTCAGGGTGAAGACCTTGTGCAGTATGTCCGGGTGAAGACCTTGTGCAGTATGTCCGGGTGAAGACCTTGTGCAGTATGTCAGGGTGAAGACCTTGTGCAGTATGTCAGGGTGAAGACCTTGTGCAGTATGTCAGGGTGAAGACCTTGTGCAGTATGTCAGGGTGAAGACCTTGTGCAGTATGTCAGGGTGAAGACCTTGTGCAGTATGTCAGGGTGAAGACCTTGTGCAGTATGTCAGGGTGAAGACCTTGTGCAGTATGTCAGGGTGGAGACCTTGTGCAGTATGTCAGGGTGAAGACCTTGTGCAGTATGTCAGGGTGAAGACCTTGTGCAGTATGTCAGGGTGAAGACCTTGTGCAGTATGTCAGGGTGAAGACCTTGTGTAGTATGTCAGGGTGAAGACCTTGTGCAGTATGTCAGGGTGAAGACCTTGTGCAGTATGTCAGGGTGAAGACCTTGTGCAGTATGTCAGGGTGAAGACCTTGTGCAGTATGTCAGGATGAAGAAAGACCTTGTGCAGTATGTCAGGATGAAGAAAGACCTTGTGCAGTATGTCAGGATGAAGAAAGACCTTGTGCAGTATGTCAGGGTGAAGACCTTGTGCAGTATGTCAGGGTGAAGACCTTGTGCAGTATGTCAGGATGAAGAAAGACCTTGTGCAGTATGTCAGGGTGAAGACCTTGTGCAGTATGTCAGGGTGAAGACCTTGTGCAGTATCTAAAACACAAATAAACAGACGTACACCAATTTCTGCACACACAAATGATTCCCCCAAGTAGTATAATTTGTTATATTGTACAGTACTGTATACAGTAGTTATGTTGTATTAGCACTTTCTTGATAATTACCTTGTTTGCAAATATATACCTAGGAAGTTTTGTCTGTGACAAATATTTAATACTGTATACAGTGGAACCTAGGTCTACGAATGCCCCAGAATACAAATTTTTTGGTGTACGAAATCAATTTCATCGTAAAATTTGACTCGGTGTGTGAAGTTTGCCTCATAGTACGACTCTTGTTGATATGTGTGTGGGTAGAGTGAGTGGGTTCTACTGGGTGCGGGGTGAGGCATGCTCAGTTTACCAGTGTATGCCGTATAGTGACGACTGTACTTTAATTCTTTGTGAAGAATTTTGTTGTTTTCTGTTTTTTTGGTTTCTGAACATAAAACTTGTATATGACACCATGGGTCCCAAGAAAGTCACTGGTAAAGTTCAACCTAAGAAAATAATTGTGAGGAAAATGTAAGAAAATGTGTGCAGTATGGGAAGAACTGCAAAGTTTTGCTGAAAAGACTTCCAAATAAAGCTGTAGCAGGACATTGTATTAACCTTTTTAACCACTAGGCTGCTCGGCTTCCAAATACGGCAACCTTCCAATGCGCCAGTGTGCAGGAAATAAAATCTCTGGATTTTTTTTTATTTATTTATTTTATTTTTTTATTTTTTTTTAAAGTGTCAAAAACCCTTTCCTGAGTATGGATATGTTAACAAAAAGTCGAAATTGTACTTACTTTGGCTGCTATAGGGTCTGTAAGTTTGTGCGTGACGTCATCAATCCCCGGTCGCCATGGCGTACGCTCCCAGGGCCAATAGGGTGCCCAGCTCAAGATGCGCAAGTTGCCACGAATATATTTTTGTTCATTTTTTGCGCACAGTTTCAAATACATTTTATTTGTTTTTTCGTGCCAGTCCTATGTATAATGAACACGTACACTATATTATGGCAGTAGAACATCCGTACTGTTACATGCATGACACGTGTTCACATATCCTGCACATATTTCGAATGTATCATGCTAATTTATGTATATATACAATCTATTTACACACTACAGTATCACACACTATACACACACACACACACACACACACCATAAACACACTCAGAACTCTGCGAGTGTGAGCTGCCACACCCATCCAGTCCTCCCTCACTCCAACATCGCACTCGCCATCACTCCTCTTCCCACCATACTATTATTCACACCAATGTTTTATGTTCATTTATGTATATTTACAACATATTTAACACACTATACTGTACTATACTATACACACACTACTACACTGTCACACACTATACTACACTGTCACACTATATACATTCACCATCAACACACTCAGAACTCTGAGAGTGTGAGCTGCCACACCCAGCCAGCCCTCCTTCACTCCTCCAACATCTTATTCGCCATCATTCCTCCTCCCACCATACTGTTATTGTTTTTATTCATCATAACTATACAACTAAGCTGGTATTGTGTCCAAACAGTACAGTGGCCACCATACACTACATGACAATTGTCACACAGCAGACGACGACGCAATGAGTACAACGCCAACTCCCTCACCAAAATGGCTCCTCTCAACATACTCCTGTTGGTGTTATTACACAATATACACACATTGTATATACCCATGTGCATGTTTGTTTGCCATAGTGAACCACTAAGCTAGTATGGTGAGCAAAACAAGAGTGGCTGCCACACACAGTTGACACTATCTCAATTCCCTCCCTCCTTACCAAAATTCCTCCTCCCACAATACAATGCACAGCACTAATTATCACCACAATCCTGCTATTATCACAATCCTGGTCACTAAATCCTGCAAATGAATAATTGACCACAAGTTTATTTTGTAAAGGAACATAAGAAGTCATTTGAAGATTTCTAGATGGATGAAATACAGTGGCTAGCACTGTGAACATCTTGAACAGCACCAATTCATTGATATTTGAACATTGTACACAGTCATTATCACACTCAGGTTCCTCTGTAATACCTGTAATACTATCATGGCTAAATAATACCAGTTACATATATATTTTGATATTATTAGGCGATGCTGTGGTCACATGCTGAACAGCAGTGCTGTGAGCTCATGCTGCGTGCGCCAGTCTTGGTTGCTCACTCAGTACTGAGGCTCTCACCCCTAGGAATGTTGCCCACGATTTTTTTTTTTTTAAAAGGTGTCTGTTTACAAGAGCCCCGAGGAAGCTGATGTGAACCCCATGTAGCTGCGGGAGTTCTGAATTATACGCTAAAAATATAAGGTCCTGGAGGCGCGTTAGCGCACCCCCTGTTGAGTGCCTGCAGGTGCGTTGCGCACCCCCTGTTGAGTGCCTGCAGGTGCGTTGCGCACCCCCTGTTGAGTGCCTGCAGGTGCGTTGTGCACCCCCTGTTGAATGCCTGCAGGTGCGTTGCGCACCCCCTGTTGAGTGCTGCCTGCAGGTGCGTTGCGCACCCCCTGTTGAGTGCCTGCAGGTGCGTTGCGCACCCCCTGTTGAGTGCCTGCAGGTGCGTTGCACCCCCCTGTTGAGTGCCTGCAGGTGCGTTGCACCCCCCCTGTTGAGTGCCTGCAGGTGCGTTGCATCCCCCCTGTTGAGTGCCTGCAGGTGCGTTGCATCCCCCCTGTTGAGTGCCTGCAGGTGCGTTGCGCACCCCCTGTTGAGTCCCTGCAGGTGCGTTGCGCACCCCCTGTTGAGTGCCTGCAGGTGCGTTGCGCACCCCCTGTTGAGTGCCTGCAGGTGCGTTGCGCACCCCCTGTTGAGTGCCTGCAGGTGCGTTGCGCACCCCCTGTTGAGTGCCTGCAGGTGCGTTGCGCACCCCCTGTTGAGTGCCTGCAGGTGCGTTGCGCACCCCCTGTTGAGTGCCTGCAGGTGCGTTGCGCACCCCCTGTTGAGTGCCTGCAGGTGCGTTGCACGGTTCAGTGGTTAATGACAATGTAATGTCTCACTACAGACAAGTATTAAAACATAGGGAAAAACAAGTGTCTGTAGTCAGATTACACACAGATTCATAGTGAGACAAACATGCAGTGAGCCACAACCAGGTCTTTGTGATATGCCTGCAAAATGTAGGAGAGAGTACTCCATAAATAGCATCACTGGCTGATGTTATAATGAAATGGGACTCCCTTTCCACGCACTAATGCCTTTCCTCCTCACTGTCAACCATACACCAACAAGAGTCCTCAATAAAGGTAAGGTATAGTATAAAATGATTAATATTCTGTATAAAATGTATGTTAATATTTTTGGGTGTGTGGAACAGATTAATTCAGTTTACTTTATTTCTTATTAGAAAATTTGTTTCGGTGTATGATCAGCGTCTTGGAATTAATTAAATTTATAGACTGAGGTTCCACTGTATATAAATACGGTATAAAGGTATTCAGCTCTATTATACAAAACTAGATTGCTACATAGATGCAAAACCTCATGTCTGGGTAAAGTGCATGCATTCTAAGATTATGCCACCAGTGGTTGAGGTATTTTGGTATAAATTCCTTTAAATTCAACCTGCTTATTGATGCATATGTGTTCTCGGTGGCAGTAAAGGTCATCGCCTGTGAAACAATAGAGAAAAATATTATGGGACAGAAACAAAAATATGTAATGTTCGTCCTTCAGCGTTTAAGATGACCTTGACTTTAATATATCAGGCTGAAGGTCCATGGCTGTGTGTCAAATGGAGGACAAGACTAATCTGGGTCTGGAAGCCACGTCCACACATGGGATATACATAGGTGGGTGCCACTGTAGAGGTGGAGCTTTGCACGTGATATGTTTCCATGGGGCTTCTACAGTCTGTCTATTTTCTGGCACATGGGCCCCTGTGGTGACTTTGTTTTTCCAAGTTAGACGGTTCTGAGCAAGTGACTTCCAAGTAAAGTATTGGGGTTGATGTCCAGGTATTTGAGGGTTACCTTGAGGCAGTAGTCCTTGAATCATTTCTTCTGCTCACCAACTGAACGCGTGCTTTTGCATAACTCTGACTGAATGCTGCATATCATAGTTATTTGCAGTGAGGACCATAGCAATATGTACATGGTGAGGGCAGCCGAGATCAATGTCTAGCCAACCGTTCACATGCTAAGTGTTATAGTTGAGAACTGTCAAGGCAACACCAAAATCTGGCGTGGTTCTTGACACAGATTTGTCATTGGAACAGATTTTTTCAAACTTGATGGTGCAAAAGTCTCGTTTTGATTTTGTACTCTGTCCTTGTGGCACTTACGCATTTTAGTACCTATTATAGGACCATTGTATACTTTCTTCAGCATTTCTGAAAATTTATTCACTGCTGTGTTCTTAATATTGGTTATGTACCTCGTATACTCATGAGCGTGACAGCTTGGGAAATTCATGATGGCACAGGTCTCTCTGGATCCAACAGGACCACATCCATATGTCATTATACATGGCTTGTTTCATATTTTCATTATCATTATTGACCATAAGTGTTGACACTTGTTTATTACCACACATTCCTGTGATTGTACAACTAAGTTCTTTTTCCTTGATTACATTTGTCATTTTAGGTGCATAACAATATTTGCAGTGATTCCTATTGAGGAATTGGAGCAACAGTTTACCGGACATTGTAATGTTTGTTGTAGACCTAACTGGGTTTTCCCACTTCCCACTTATAAAAAGTAATAAACAAGATATATAAAATTGGATGATGACGATTGTACAATGTCGCATGCAAGGGGTCCAGGTGGTGGTGGACTGGCTGCTATAAAGTTTTATAAGGTGTATTATTATTTCAGGTGATTCAACAGAATTTCGTGCCCACAATGCAACTGTCCGTTCGGTGCAATTCTCACCAGATGGGCAGCAGTTGGTGACAGGATCCGATGACAAAACAATCAAACTTTGGACTGTACATAGACATAAATTTGTTTGTTCCATCTCCACACACACTAACTGGGTTTGTTTTATTATTTTATTTGTATCTGCTGATAATGTAAATAAAACCACTTGTTTTGGTGATTTTGTACCACCTCGGATTTTTTTTAAGAGGTATTCCACTTTAATAACATTACAGAAATGGCTTTATTAATTATAGAGTCCCTTCGGCTCCCTGGAGGTATACCAGGCTGATGTGTATATATTAGACCGTGGCAACAATCAATCGAAGGAGTTCTAGGCCTACCGGGGACCAGAGCCAGAACTTGGCCCCCTCAAGAGAGGCACTAGGAGCAATGGCCTAAAGAAACCCCCATGTAATTGGAAGCAGTCTGTCTGCCATCTACCAGGTCAGGCACCCAGAAAGGTAGGAATTGCAAAATAAACTGCTGCTGATCAAATAAATTGCAAACAGAAAGCCGAACTAGCAACAGAACTCCCCAATCAAAAACAAGGAAACAAGTATAACGTCATCACAAACACATACCGCGCAACCCCCTCTCCCCGGGAGGGGTACGGGGGGGTCCACGCCGGCAACTCTGCTCGGTTCACAGGCTGTTGTGAGGGCAAATGGTTGATCGACTCTGGCTCCATACTTTGAGCAGTGCTGCAGTGTGGTGGTAGTGTTCAGTTTTGGTATCGTGCGAGCTAGGAGTAACACAAGAGTACTGGGGCTGCATGCACCTACGGCCGCCTTCCCTAGGTGCCCTGTAAGTACTACCCTTGCGGCTTCAGAGTTATCTTCCCTGAGCCGTTCAGGAACTACCTTCACATGGTTCTGTTGCTGCTCGGTGATTGCTCGCCCTTGGAGTTCAGCTAGGGTGGTTCTTGCTCCTGTTTGCCCTTGGGTAGGAGGTAGCTTCGTCGCTAGCAGGGGCGCGAGATACTGTGCAGCTGCCTGATATACGTATAGCGACTGGTTCTGTTCACCTGGAGACATTGTGCTTTTTTTTTTTTTTTTTTTTTTTTTTTTTTTTTTTTTTTTTTTTTTTCTGCTGGGGGTCTCCCTGGTGTGGTGGTAAGACCACTTGTAGGATTTTGGTGGCTCTCCACTAAGTCCCGTGCTTGCACACATCGCAGGGATTCAGCTTTTAGTTTGTTTGCTTGGTAGTTCTGGGATAACAGGTTAGCAGTACCTCGCCTGGGCTTCCCTTAGCATTAGCCTAAGGGCCCTAGAAACCCCCTTAGGGGCTCAGTGGTCCAATGGAACAGACCTTAGAGTCCCACCTCGCCTTGTGCGAGTTTGAAGGTTGCTCTGTTCGCTTGACTCAGGATGACACTCACCGTCTTTGTCTCCTCCATGCTGCTTGTTGGGTCAATGACACCTTTGACCCTTAGTCCTATGAGTGGTGTTCCTTGTTTGTACTCCAATTGACCCAGTCCAATGAGATTGATATTTGGGTGCAAGCAGCTTCGGCGTTGCATGCACGGATTAGGTTGCTGCATCGCGCTAGGTTGGTTGCCTTTCCGGATGCGCCGCAGCTGCCCTGCTTTGGTTATACGGACCCGGACATTGGGGTGTTAGTTGCCTCGACTTTGGTTTCATCTGCACCCCCTAGTCCTTCCCCTGCTGTGGTTCATCCTGCTCTTCCCCCCCCCCCCCCTCCCTGCTCCCAAACAACTGAGGGTTTCAAGGGTCGGGGCTGGGTTTGCCTGGTGTGAGTCTCGGGCGGCTAGGAGAAATGCCCCTTCTGGATCAGCGGCAGAGGTATTTGAGCCTGTTCCTCCTGCTGGAGCCCTTGGGCCGTGCCAGCAAGCCCCCTTCATCCCGGCTTTTCCGGCGGACTCTGCCTTTTCTCCAGAGGCAGAGGGTTTGGAGGACAGCTCGACCCCGGGTTCTGACGTTGAGGTACCCGGGGCTGGGGAGAAGTTGACTTAGGGTGCTTGGGTGTTGGTACCCTCGGCACGGGGCTTGTTGTTACAGGGTAAGGGGTTTTCCTATCCCCCCCATCCTGTACGAGTTTGATATGGGTGCGACTCTTCCCCGGTTTCGGTTCCGGGTTCCTTTGGGTTCCTTGGTTTCCTCCTTCCAGAGATTTTCGTCTAACCACATTACATCAAAGGTGGTGCGGGAAGCCCTCGCGGCTTACTTCTTGCAAGACCCGGATTACTCCTTGGTAATGGATCCTTCTTTCGAGTTTGGCTCCTCGTTTTTTGTTCTGGATGCGTTACGAGATGCCAAAGTCTTCCTGGTTGGCGGACTGCCCTTTCTTTTCGTTAGGGACATGGCATTCGTTCTGTTGAACCCATGCGCTTGAATGGCGGGAAGTGAATACAGTTGTTCAGGTTTACCTAGGGGGCAAATTTGAGCACCTCAATGCGTGCTTGTTTGCCCCCGTACTTCCTCGTGATGTTGGTCAGATTCAGCTTCACGAGCAGGTTCCCTCCCTTTCGGCGTCCTTGGTGGCCAAGGAATTGCGCGCTCGTGGGCATTTGGCTTCTGTCTTGCATTATTTTTCTCTGCTGGAGCTGTCTTCGGACTGGTTCGGTGAGGATGTGCAGGAACTGGGTTCTGGGCCGATGTCCGGTGTGTTTGCTTCGGCAGCTCGAGTGTCGGCTGCCTTGTTGAAGTTGTTTGCATCGATTCTGAGGGAGGCGGTGTCCCTGTTCTATGCTTCTCGTCTCACATGCTGTCAGGCGGTTCTCGTCCACTCTTTGGAATCGGCTTGGGCTCTTAGATTTTCGTCCCCTTTTTGTCCGTTGCTGTTTGCAGAGTCTGCGGTGGTGCATTTTCTGCAAGCGGGGCTTCTAGTTGCCGGCCTATGTCGGACTTGTTGGTTCTCTGGGGAAGAGGGGGCGTGGTGGTCCTGCCCGGAAGGGTTGTGCCAGGTCTCGGGGTTCCTTCAATCATTGTAAGCCAATAGTGCTAGATTCGGGGCTGGCACCTCTGGAGCCGTCGGCATCAGGTTGGCGCAGTGATCGCTCTGAGCGTCGGTCGGGCTCTCGTAGGGGTCGTCAGCCCTTTCACGGGTCGCCCCGTTGACATGGCGATAGGGGGTAGGCTTGCACTGTTTGCTCTCGCCTGGTTCCACGATTCATGGGCATTTCAGGTCGTTTCCTCTGGCCTGTGGTGGCGTTGGGTTGCTCCTCCTCTTTCGGGGGGATCGGGGCTGGCAGGGCAGGCCTCTTCTCTTGTGCTGTCAGGTCATCCGGGAGTGGGTTCGCTTGGGTGTGGTCGAAACAACAACGTCCCTCAGGTGGGTTTCCCGCCTGTTTTCAGTTCCGAAACGGGACTGTGCAGATCTGCGATTCATACTGGACTTGTCTCGTCTGAATCCCTGGATCTTTTGCTCCTCCTTTCGGATGACCACTCTGTCTCGGGTCCAGCTTCTTTTGGTGCCGGGTGCCTGGATGGTGTGTCTGGACTTCCGAGACACATATTGGCACGTCCTGATTCATCCGGAGTTCAGGGACTGTCTCGGTTTTGTTGTGGGGCGACAAGCTTACTGCTTTCGTTGCTTTCCATTTGGTTTGAATCTGGCACCTCAAGTATTCACACGCCTTACCCGGGTTGTGATGACCCGTTTGCGTCTGTTTAGGGCTCAGGTTCTGGCTTACCTCGACTGGCTGGTGTGGGCTCGCCAGGGATTTGGTTCTTTCCCAGCTCGCCGGGTTCAGGTTCTTGGTGAACTGGCGGAAGTCCCATTTGGTTCCCTCTCAGGTTTGGACTTGGCTGGATCTTGTGTAAGACTCTCGGAACGCTTCCTTGTCTCTCCCTCCTGCGACACTGTTGCCGCTGCGGTCCTACCTCCAGCTGTTTTTGGAGGGCACCCAGGTCACACGTCAGGTGTTCGAGCAGCTGTGCGGGAGCGTGAACTTCGCCGTGTTGGCTTCGGCGAATGTTCTGGTTTCTTTGGGGTCGTCCCTTCTGCCACTTTCGCTATCGATGGGTTCGGAATCTGGGAGCCTAGCATCGGCTGCTGTGTTGCCGGCTTACTCTGCAAGTTTTTCAGGGTTCTGTGCCGTGGCGCCTCCCTGAGCCCTCGCTCGATGTGTTCACGGAGGTCTCGTCTCTCGGCTGGGGTTTTGTGACAAGTGCTCACCAGGCCGGCCAGAGTCGGTGGGATCCGTCCTTCCATCGAGCTCACAGCACGGTGCGGGAGTTTGCGGCGATGTGGCTTTCGCTTCAGAGGATTCATGTCGCTCGAGGAGCAACGATTCGGCTCCATTCGGACTGCTCCCCAGTTGTTCATTGCCTGAACTGTGGGGGTTCGATGCGGTTCTTGGTTCTTTGGGGCTGGTCGCTTCAGGTGACTCATCTGCTGAGTTCTCAGGGTTTGGCTCGCCTGGCTGTTCATGTTCAGGGGGTGTCAAACGTTCTGGCGGACGGCCTGTCTCGGTTCATTCCCCTTTCCATGGAATGGACGGTCGACGCCAAATCGTTCAGTTGGCTCTACCGGACATACGGGCGCCCAGAGGTAGACCTCTTCTCATTGGCGTGGTTGAGGTGTCTTCTAGTTTATGTGGCACCCTTCCCAGCCTGCGAGGTCAATGCCTTTCGGCTGGACTGGTCGAGGTGGAGTTTCCTGTACCTCTTCCCATCGGTCCGGTTGTTGCTCCAGATCCTGGCTCGGTTGGAGACTTACCAGGGAAGAGTAGTCCTGTTGGCTCCTTGGTGGCCGGCCCAGCCCTGGTTTCAGGCGCTTCTTGCTCGATGTCCGAACCCGAGGGTCTTCCCACGGCTCTGCCTCTTTCAGTAGGTCAGTCTGGTCCGGTACGTGGCTGGTTCGATCTTCTCCTCCACTCTTCACGTCTGGTCTTTTTGACACGGGTGTATTACCACTTGTATGGTTATCAGGTGGCTTGTTGAGGAGGGAGTGACGACTGCCTCCCGGTTAAGTCCTTCTTTTTCTTTATCTTTGGTTAGGTAGCCCTGGGGAGCTGAAGGGGCTCTCCACAGAAAACCAGCGTTGAATGTAATGAAACGCCATTTTCTGGGTGAGACCTTGAGGCTCCCCGGCATCCCTCCGTCCTTCTGGTTGGCGTTTTTTTTTTTTTTTTTTTTTCATATTTTTGATACTCGGTCTTTGAATTGAGGAGAGTTGCCGGCGTGGAGGTCTGGGACCCTCCCGTCCCCCTCCTGGGGTGTGGGGGGGGGGTTGTGCACATGGATGCACGGCGTTTGTGATGACGTCATACTTGTTTCCTTGGTTTTGATTGGGGAGTTCTGTTGCTACTTCGGCTTTTGGTTTGCAATTTATTTGATCAGCAGCAGTTTGTTTTGGAATTCCTACCTTTCTGGGTGCCTGACCTGGTAGATGGCAGACAGACTGCTTCCAATTACACGGGGGTGTCTTTAGGCCATTGCTCCTCGTGCCTCTCTTGAGGGGGCCAGGTTCTGGCTCTGATCCCCGGTTGGTCTAGAACTCCTTCGATTGACTGTTACTACGGTCTAATATATACACATCAGCCCAGTATAGCTTCTGGGAACCTCCAGGTCTCGCCCAGAAAATGGCGTTTCATTACATTCAACGCTGGCTTTTTTATATGGAATTAACTCTGCTACATTTGCTACAGGTACGATGTGTAAGATTTTCTCCCGATGGACGCATGCTTGTGTCCTGTGCAGACGACAAAACCATAAAGCTTCACGACATTAACTCTGCGAGTACTCTACACTCCTTCCCAGAGTTGAGAAGCTCGTCAAATTATGTTGCATTTCATCCGTCAGGCACTTGTATTGCAGCAGCTAATACAGATAATTCTGTCAAGGTGAGCTGTTTATACTCAATACTGTATTGTCATATATTGGAACTGTTTGAAAGGGTGGCAGACCAGGTGTGAATATGTCTCGTGTTTACACACAAAAATAAAAAATTATTCTATTCTCTATATAAAAGTTTAGTATTGAATGATTGTTAGTATTTTGATTGCTTGAGTTTTGAGAGATATTGAAAATAAGCTCTGCTGTGATAATTTCTTGTAAACTTACAGTTGTAGTTGGTGGATACAGTATTACCACTTGGTTATAATTCTTTATCTCCTATCTCTCGACATTTTAAAATACAAAAGTATTATTTTCTTTTCTTTAGGTGTTAATATTAAACTTTTTAGTATATTTCCTGAGCTGATATTCATATTAAATAATTTATTTTGTATTAAGTAGAATGTGACTTCTGCACAAATGAACATGTTTAACAAACTCAAAATTTAGTTGATGCTGATGCTCCCATGCAAGCGTCTGATCGTGGTCAGTGACAATTATTAACTTACCAGCCCTTCATGACACTAAAGGATCACCTACTCTATGCAAATCGCACCACATAGTATTACCGTCGACCTCCAGCTCGTTGTCCCCGGCTGAACTCCCTCACAACACAGCATGACCGAACGGACAGACGCGTGAGGCTTCAATAATTGACAAGAAATTATTGAAACACCGCTGCTACCGTTGTAAAAACCCAATCTTACTCTTCCCTTTACTCCATTCAACACCCCAGCTCAACACTGCTTGCAGCTTAGAATGACCCCTCACTGAACTACAGCTAATTATTAAACTGAAATATTAAATGGAAGAAGGGACATTGTTCTATAAAATGACACTTGATTGAATGTGGTACATGCAATACTCATTGAGACATTAACAAAAATTAACAAAAAATTATATCTGGAGTTTTGTGGTATATCTACATGTTCCATAAACCTTGGCACCGATCTAAAGATAGTGAAATGTATCGTGTATTTGTAAGTTTAATTTTGGCAGTACAGTACCTAATATGCAAGTATAGCAGGGGTCTATATTATATCTCCCTTCATTTCCATACTACTGTATTTGGCATTCCTAGAATAACATAGCAGGTTCTTGGACATTTGGCTGTAGCTGTCTGGGTACTAGCATCTGGCGGCACGGATGTTATGTGGCTTATTTCTTGGAACCACCGAGTGTTCAGAGCTGATATTATGGTACAGTACTTGGTCAGTGCTCTTTAGTGGTGTTTTCATTTGGTGTGGTGGCTATTTCTTACTCACTCCTCTCTGTTTGGATACTAGAAAATGGACACCCATGTTTGATATGTCAGGAACTATTGACTACTTAGGTCTGATATTTATACTCAAAGTAGCATGGTATGCGACTTTGAATATTGTGTTTTGGCCACTGCTTCGATGACGTCACTCCACCACCACCACCTGATATGTGAAGTCTGACCTGTCTCCTTGACACCTCTTCTGTCACACAACCTCACTGTTGTCGTTGATCTCTCACTAGGGTTCTTCTCCAACAAAGTTTACAATTGCCCTCGTAACTTTGAGAGTGATATGGGTCTCCTTCACAGGGTGCTTCCCTGCCTTCACATTTTGCCCCACAGGTCTTCATGCCTCTCCTTGGTAGTTTTTAGGAAGTGTCATCCACACTAATAAACTACAATGGCTTGGAGTCACACAACCACTGTGTCTACTAGTTGGGCCAACATTTATCACATGTACTGTCACTGGAGATTAATGTCCTTTCAGCCTGGTAGGTAAACACTCACAGTAATCACGAGCCTTGCTCCAGGGCAAAAGGGTTATTTGTCACTGCACCTACTTGTCGTCTTCTTGAAATGTCACAAGCCTCCTCTTATTGTGGCTTTCTCTGTGCACCAATATCTCTGGATCGATTTTCCGACTTACTTTGCTGTGGGCACTTGACAGGTGATTCTCATTCTTCGTATTACATGCCAGTGACAGAGGGTGACATAATCACTCTCCTATTTTGACTGTGGGCACCCTCACAAGTCTTACTACCAACAGTTGTTCTGCACAGTCACCTTATGCATGTTCACCTTATTCGCAAGTCTTACAGCTGCTCCTCTCAATGTTGGGAAGTACTCTTGCTCCTTCTGGTAAGCTCAACTTGCCACACGACCACAAACTAGCAGTAAACTCTTGGAGCACTGATACATGTTTCCGCACCTGGTCAAGTCCGAGAGGACAGTGATCCCCTCGCCAATCTGCTGTCCCATATCGAGGCTCGATGGTGACGTCACTGCATGTCTTCCGTTCATTGGATGCAACCTTGCAGCTCCACTCAATCATGTCTCTCGTTATATACTCTTTAGACCAGTGTCACCGCATCAGGCGGGAACTTGTTCCACACCAGCGACTCTCAGCACCACATTGTTTGGCCTCTTTCCTTCAGACAATTTCTTAAAACCAAATTTACACTAAAATTGTGCCTCTCGCACTTTCCTTCATAACTCAAAACATTGGGCCATTTAATATCATTAGAGTGAGAATAAATAACTCTTGATGTAGGAAAGGAATTAGATGATCCTGACACTGGGTAGTACAGTACCACACATTCAGATTGGAAATAAAGGACTAAATAATTGTACTGGACAATAATTGTCCAATCAAATTGGACCTTGACTAAATTATGCTATGTTATATTATTGTATTTTGAAATGAGACTAATATTTATGGCTTTAGAGTAATAAATAGTCATTTTATTTTTTCAGATATATGATATTCGAACACGGAAATTATTGCAGCATTATGATGCCCATTCTGGCCCTGTTCACAGTATTTCCTTCCACCCATCCGGTAGGTACTCATCTTTTGTACATCTTGAGGTTTTGTTAGAAGAAAATATACATTTACATTAGGCATAATAAGATGCCTATTAAATATACACCCATTTACATCAGGCCTATTTTCTGGGGGGAGCCCCTTCGACTCCCCGGAGCTATCCAGGCTGATATGGATACCCTAACTATTTTGTATCAATCGATGTGGGTGAAGTTCTAGGCCTACCAGGGACCACAAGCCAAAACCTGGTCCCCGCACAGAGGCACGAGGAGCAATGGCCCATAGAAATGCACATGTGATTTGGAGCAGTCTATATCTGCCATCGTCTGGAACAAGCACCCAGAAAGGTAAGCGCCACAAAACAAATCCCCAATTCTGGTTAAAACAACGAAAATCGTCAACGAGTGGACAGAATTCCCCAAAAGAAAAACGAGCAAACAAGCATGATGTCACACGAGCCGCACCGCATGTCTGCGCAGCTCCCCCCCCCACCCCCTCTCCGGGAGGGGGAAGGGGAAGCCCCAGACCCTCGCACCGGCGATCCACACCCTAGTTCCTCGGCTGATAGGATCGTGCACAGTCATGTGGCTCCAGCTCCGGTCTTCTTCAGTGCTGTCATTGTTTTCAGTGCTGCTCTTACGGTGGTCGTGTGAGCTGGGAGTATTATTCTTGGGTACTCGGGCTACATGTGCTTTAGGGTCACCTTCCCTAAATGCCCTGTAAGTACCACCCTTGGGGTTAGGGGTTCTCTTCCACAAGTCACCTTGGGTCTACCTCTGTTGGGCTTTCGCTGCTTGGCGTTTGGCCACCCCGAGTATGTGGGGGTTTTCCTCCCTTGATTGCCTTGGGGTAAGTGGTAGTTATTGTACTGGTGGGGCGCAGGGTACTGCGTAGCTAGTTTTCACCTATAACGGCGGCCTGCTCTGTTCTCTTCGGGTACGTTGTCTTCTTGCGAGTTTTTTTTTCTTTTTCTTTTTGCCTGGTGGGGGGGGGGGGGATCTGCCTTGTATTTTCCCTCCCCTTACCTTAGGGTCGTTTGTGTAGTGACACCCCCTGCTTCTCCCTCATGAGTGGACACGTCCCGTGAGTTCAGCTTTTAGCAGTTTGCTTGGTAGTTTGGGGTGCCGGTTAGCAGTACCCTGCCTGGGATAACCCTTAACAGACCCAGTCTAAGGGCCCTGGAAAACACTGCGGGGACACTCAGGTCCAATGGACGAGATCCTTGCGTCCCCCCCTCGCTTTGTGCGAGTTTGAGGGTTGCTCGGTCCCCTTGTCTCTTGGCAACTCTCCTTGTTTTTGCCTCCGTTATGCTGCCTGTTGGGTCGGTGACACAAAGCTTGCAGGACCCCGAGTCCTGCAAGCTTTGTTGCTTGTTTGTGGCTCCATTCACCCGGTCTATTGATGACATTCCTTGGGTGCAGGGAGCTCGCGTGTTGCTGGGTAGGTTGTTGTAGCACACTAGTTTGGTTGCTTCCCCGGATGTACTGAAGCTGCCCCGTTTTGCTTCTCAGGACCCGGGCTTGGGGGGTTTTGGTTGCGTCGGCCTTAGTTCGGTCCGTGCCCCCTCGTTCTTCCCCCTGCTGTGGTTCCTTCGGTCCCCTTTCCCCCTGCTTCTGGCTCCTTGGCGTCTGAGGGCTTTGGATTCGGGGTTTGAGATTCGGGCAGTTTCGGGGGTTGCCCCGTCCAGGGTTGTGTCAGAGGTATTTGAGTCTATTTCTCCAGCCGTAGCTCAGGGATCTGATCAGTGGGCCCGCTCTCTTCTTGCTATTTCAGCTGCCCTGGCTTTTTCTTGTCTGGCCGGGGCTTTGGAGGACGACTTGTTCCCGGGTCCTGATGTGGTGGTTCCCAGGGTTGGGGAGCCTTGGGCCCCGTTGAACCCCGCCTGGGTTTTCCGACCTTCCGAGCGGGGATTACTGTTACAAGGAGTGGGGTTTTCCTTTCCCCCTTCTGCGTATGAGTTGACTTTGGGCGTCGGCCCCTCCTCGGGTGCGGGTCTGTGGGGTGTTTTCTCCACTTTCCCCCCTTTCTCCTCTAGGGCCTGTGTTCTGCACCGTGCAGCAATCGTTTTCTATTGTCTAGGGTCCTGCATGACCATGGGTCTCAGATGCTTTTGGGTGCATCTGTCCCTCTGTGGTTTTGTGCTTGTTGGTCTTGGATCTCGAAGGTTCGAGTGGGTCTTCGATGCTCCTGCGTACGTGGCACGTCTGTCGCCTCCCTGTGGGGCTTCCCTCCAGTCCTTTCTGGGACTCGTTGGTACTCTATTTGTCCTTTGTCTCGCCTTTCCTGTTTCTAGTTCCATATTCCTTGTTGGCACCCTCCCCGGGAGTCGTTGCGCAGCCGGACCTCCTGTGTTCTGCGCTTGCGCTGTCGGTGATTGTTTTGTTCTGGTCGGTGTACACCTGTTGGTGCTCCTCGCGCTTCTTCCTGGTGGTACACTGCTCTCGCTCCTCTTCTCTCCAGTCATCGCCCCCTGGATATTGGGGAAGTTCTGGGTTTTATCTGTGGGAAACACGTCTAGTTCTTTGCTTATGGGTGTGGGGTGACTGGGAGTGGCGCTTCTTCCGCCTCTCCAGTGCCCCCTGCTCTTCTGCACAAGCATCTTTGGGCATGGTCCACTTGCAATGCTCCCACACTGTTACACGGCTCCGTTGTCGTTCCTCGATAGTGCCTATGATCTTCAGGTTTGATTTTACGGTTTGGTGCCTTGTTAGCTGGGACTCTGGACACTCATGCATTGCCGTCGTTCGGCACCTGGCTACACCCTTATATATATATGTTCCGTACCATAAGGATGTCTGACCCAAGTAGCAGTTAGGTCGGCCCATGTGTTGCGTTTCCTCGGTGGTCGCTCGGGTTGACATCGGCGGATGCTGGTTTTCACGTTCGGGATTTCCCCTTAGTTTTCACCTGATCTAACCCAACCTGTCATTACCAGCCTTTGGCTGGTAATACAGTGGTACCTCGGAATGCGAGTTTTTCGGAAGACGAGCAGTATTTACTCCAAAAATTTGTCTCGGAAGGCGAGGGTTACCTCGGGACGCGAGTTTGTTGATACGCGTACAGGCCGACCTAGCGCGTGGTGGTTCGGCGATCGTCGCCCCTCTGCTCCGCCGCCCCTCAGTTTACCATTGTCTCGCGCTCAGTGACTACCCCCACATCAATTCTTCTCGCGGATTTTGAGTGTTTTGTTGGATTTTTGGTGATTTGTCTATACAATTTGTTATTATATATCTCACCATGGGTCCCAAGAAAGCCAGTGGTAAGGATAAAGGCCAGAAAGCTCATGTGAGGATGACAATAGAGGAGAAACAAGAGATCATTCGGAAGCATGAGAACGGTACACGTGTTGTTGAACTTTGTAGGCAGTACAACAAAGCCACATCAACAATATGCACTATACTTAAGAAGAAAAATGAGATTATGGGTGCTAAAGTGGCAAAAGGAGTAAGAACATTAACGACACAAAGACCACAAATACTTGAAGAAGTGGAAAAGTTGTTATTAATTTGGATACACGACAAGGAGTTGAGGGGTGATAGTGTTTCGGAGGCCATTATTTGTGAGAAAGCCAGGGTGTTGCACGAAGACCTTCTAAAGAATACCCCTGCAACGAGTGATGCAGATACGAAAGAGTTTAAGGCAAGCAGGGGCTGGTTTGAAAAATTTAGAAAGAGAAGTGGTATCCATAGTGTTACAAGGCATGGGGAGGCAGCCAGCTCAGACAAACCAGCCGCTGGACGATTTATTGACGAATTTAAAGAGTTTGCACAGGCTGAGGGATACCTACCGCAACAAGTGTTTAATTGTGACGAAACAGGACTGTTTTGGAAAAGAATGCCTAAGAGGACATACATTACCAAGGAGGAAAAATCCTTGCCTGGACACAAGCCTATGAAAGATAGGTTTACGCTTGTGCTGTGTTCAAATGCGAGTGGCAATTTGAAAATTAAACCCTTGCTAGTGTATCATTCTGAAAATCCAAGGGTTTTCAAACAGTAAAAAATACAGAAAACCCAAATGTGTGTGATGTGGAAGTCTAATAAAAAAGTGCTTCTCCTTGACAATGCTCCTGCTCATCCTCCAGGCTTGGAAGATGATTTGTTGCCTAGATACAATAAATTCCTCACAGTTAAATTCCTTCCTCCTAACACCACTCCTGTAATTCAGCCTATGGACCAGAAAATCATAGCGAATTTTAAGAAACTTTATGAAAGGGCACTTTTCCGGAAATGTTTTGAAGTGACTGAAGCCACAAACCTCACCCTCAAAGAGTTCTGGAGAGAGCATTTTAACATTTGTAGTGCTTTAAAACTCGTTGACAAAGCCTGGCAAGAAGTGACTCAAAGAACCCTGATCTCTGGCTGGAGAAAATTGTGGCCTGAATGTGTGAGAGAACTAGACTTTGAGGGGTTTGAGCCTATAAATGATGCGCCTATTGTTGAGGAAATTGTTAGTCTAGGCCAGCAAATGGGCTTGGAATTGGATGGTGGTGATGTGGAGGAGTTGGTGGAAGAACACAACGAAGAACTGACCACCGAAGAACTCCTAGCCCTTCAACAGGAACAGCAAGCCAACGCAGCAGCGAATGATTCTGCAGTGGAGGAGGAGGTGGCAGCAGCACCAGCGAATGTCCCTTCTGCAGTAATTAAGAAGGTGTGTCAGATGTGGGAAGAGATTCAAACAACTGTTGAACAGACTCACCCAGAGAAAGCTGTAGTAGGTCGTTGTCTTAATCTTTTCAATGACAATGTGATGCCTTACTACAGAGAGAGCTTGCGAAGAAGGGAAAAGCAAGCTTCCATGGACAGATTTGTGGTCAGGAAATCGAGCAGTGAGCCTCAACCAGGACCTAGTGGCACTCAGATAAAACGTCCCAGGGAGAGCACACCAGAAAGGTCCTCACTGCCTGATGTGATTATGGAAGGGGACTCCCCTTCCAAACAGTAACTCCTCTCCTCCTCCCCCCTCCTCACCATCTTCCATACGCCTACAGCACTCGACAGCAAGGTAAGTAA